TCTCAAAAAAAAAAAAAAAAAAAAAACAAAAAAAAAAAAAGAAAAAAAAAAAAAAAAAAAAAAAAAAAAAAAAAAAAAAAAAAAAAAAGTACATATTAATATTTTATTTCTACACATAAAGGCTAATAGAACGTAAACCAAAAAGCTAATAGTAAATATTTGTGGAGAGCAAGAAAAAGGAGACAAGTTACTTGCTTTTTGATTATTGGTATTTCCTTATGTTTCTACATGAATCTGTACATTTATAATTTGAGGAAAAACAAAAAGACTCAAAGAGATTGGTAAGTTTAAATAACCACATTAGCAGCATCTTGGGAACTGAGGAAGATGGGACTATTATTTCTCAGAAGAACTGATGACCTAATTTAGATTATAAAAGTATTTTCAGTTCCATCACAGGAAAAGTTCCCTTAAAGTGGGGACATATAAGAAAAAAAAAAAAAAACAGCTCTGCAGCAGACAAAGCACAATGATACTGCTTCTGATCTGATCTTTCTGGCCCCAAAGTGAGCACGTCCTGTGCTGTAACTGAGGCCGCTTTCACTTAGTAACTCATACTTCCTTCTCTATGGGAACTGAGTTTCTCAGGCCTGCTCACTGGTATAATAACTCTATAACCACAGTCTGTTCTAGGTCAAAAGGAGCAGACGTTCTGACATTGGCAGGAGTGCCATGTAGCATCTAAATAGTGAGAATTAGCAACTATCCATTTCAGAAATGTTATGCTAGTAATTTTTCTATGATGGTTAAGGTGAACTATGCAGCCAGCCACTTATGATCATCAGTATAATCTTAGATACACAACCTAACTCATTTGTTTCCTCATCTGTAGAATGGGAATATTAGGGTTGTTCTGAGGTTAAAATGTGGTAATACTTGTAAAGTACTTAGAATGAGTCTCTGGTACACAATAAGCCCTAATAAATGTAAGTTATTGTTAATACTATTAATAACATTAAGGGAGCAACAGTGCCATACTTCCTTAATACCAACAACTTACAATTCCTGTTCTCCACTGATCTGTTCTCCTGATAAAATCTGAAACAAACAGGCTTAATATAACTTTTTAATTTCATTTTACCTCATCAAGTTCAAGACTAGAAATATTATGGATTAAATTAACATTATAAAACTAATTTAGATGAACACTTTAAGTTGTTGACTCAGTAATTCTTAAGAAATGTAAGTTTCTGGTGAAATCCCGTCTCTACTAAAAAATACAAAAATTAGCCGGGCATGGTGGCAGGCACCTGTAAACCCACTACTTGAAAGGCTGAGGTAAGAGAATCGCTTGAACTTGGGAGACGGACGTTGCAGTGAGCAGAGATCGTGCCATTGCACTCCAGCCTCCTGGGTGACAGAGCAAGACTCTGTCTCAAAAAA